TCACAGGCTTGAGCCCTGTGTATGGCAGAGGGGCAGTACAGATACGTGCATAGACGCTGTAGGTCACAGACTCCTGCAGGAGGGATTGGCACCCCAGTGCAGGCATCAGATGGGCCTGCTAGTGGCTGGATTCTCTACCCTGCCAAGATCCCCTTATGGGCAGGAGTTTATCATACAGCTACTACCTCGGTGCCAGCACTTTTTTTCTCTGAGCATCTGGGATCCCCAGATTCTTTGTGGTCCAAGGATTGGAAAATATAAGACTTTTTTTAGCTGGAAAGATGAAAGGAATATTCTGTTTGCCATGACAGGGTGGTTAATGACAGCCCTGGTCACTCCCACACGCCTGCTCAGGTCTGACCCACATTAATAACCCCAGATGGCCGGGGGCTGTCAGTGGCGGATGGGACCTGCATCCTTGCACTTTTGGCCATCTCCGAACATGCCTGACCACTTTGTTTAAATGAAATCCATTCGTCTCAAAGCTAAATCATCCCCAGGAGTAGCACAAAATCCGATTTCCTCAGTTTCTGGAGAGGTTTGGCTAATGCTGGGACGGAGATGGAGTGGTTTACTCTGGCTGCTCCTTGCAAATGCTTCCCTCCCAGACGGTAGTTCTTTCCATATATAAGTCTGATGGAGCCTCCCCTACTCATCTACAAAATGGAGAGCTAGGCAGCTGCCAAGCTTTGGCGTGCTTCGAAGGGTCTTGTCCTCTGCAGTCTCTCTTTGCCTGGAGTGAATGCTTAGGAGTACATGGGGCCCACAAAAGATGCAAGTCACATCCAGGCTGTTTAGGGAGCAGCCATATTAAAGCTAAGAAGGGATGTAGGCTCTGACCAGGGGGTTGCTGGGTGCCCAGCTGAAGAGAAGAGGAGCTGAGGATTCAGATGGAGAGCTGTTGGTGAAGGCTCAGGCTGTGAGTGGAGCAAAGGATGTTGGCTGAGGGGACCTACTTGGAGATAACTTTCTTCATCCAGATGCCAGGTGACCATCACCAGAGACTGCAACCTGGGGTTCCTATCTTGCTACTCCATCTGGGAGTCTTTAAAGGTCGAACAAATGGAGATCTCAATACTATGAAAACCCAAGCTTCTGGAGCTGCAAACAGGCCACTGGTTTCTCCTAATGGGGGATTTCCCGTGTCCTGCTCAGCACTAGCTCCTCAAGACATAGTACCACACAGGGTCTGCAGCCTTGGGGACGTTCATACTAACCAGCTGTTGCCTGGATGGCTCCTCAATGCCGGCTCCAATGCGATGGTTATGCCTTTCGGGGATGGCCACCCTGTTCCCAGTCACCGCTAACCTTGTGGCTCCCTCTCAGGGCCTGGCTGCAGGACATACGACTCTAGTTTCCTCCACTGTGGAAGTGGTGAAGCATCTGGTGACTCAGACGGCAGAGACAAAGCAGAGGATACCCAGCTGTCATCCTTAGGGAGAGATGCTGAACACAGAAAGGACCACTCACCTTGGGTCATGAGGAACACTGTCTACATTCTCAGGATTCTGATGACAGCAGGTGACACTGAGCAGTTGGTTCCGTGAGAAATGAGGTCTAGAACCACTAAGGTTGTCCCACCGATATGGGCAGTAGTAGTCATCTACATAGTGGCTCGACATGCTCAGGTCCTCTGGATATCAGAAGGGGCCACAGAGTGGGGCCGCAGAGAGGACTGGGGAGGGGACACAGGGGAAACACCGTGGGGAGTGGCCTAAATGTGACTGAAGAATTCAACCATTTGAGACCAAATCAAGGAACATGCTAGATAATCAAAGAAGCATCAGGGGTCAAGGGGAGGAGGTCAGTGACACCATCAGGAAGAGAAGAAGTAGTGGTATGGATCTCTGCACTCGCAGAGTGGGTAGCATGCCAACGTGGTCCTATAGCTGAGCAGCCTCTTCCTTAGGTGTGGGTGGGGTATGTGGAGGATGATCCGTGTTCTCCACCATGAGCTCTGGAGCTGAGACCCATGTGAACTCATGGGACCTGTCAGCATGGCCATGGGTGAGATGACCGGGTTCGTTTATCACTTAAATCGTAGCCAACATACAGGTTTCTTTCTTTTTTCTTTTTTGCCTCCCTCGTGGATGACAGACTCTCCTGAGAAGCTTTTATATATGTATTTTTTTTTTTTTGGTTTTTCGAGACAGGGTTTCTCTGTAGCTTTGGTGCCTATCCCGGAACTAGCTCTTGTAGACCAGGCTGGCCTCGAACTCCCAGAGATCCGCCTGCCTCTGCCTCCTGAGTGCTGGGATTAAAGGCGTGCGTCACCACCGCCCGGCTTATACATGTATTTTTATACCTCCTTCTAACACCTCTAGATCTCCTAAAATCTAGACACCCTGTCACAGTTGGGTATATGACCTTCTCGATAGCCATCCTCAGCCCTCTCTGAAGGAACCTTCACAGGTGGTCCCCGCAGTAGAATGAGCCCATCTGGCTGAGCTGGGTGAGTCTGGCCACAGCTCTGTCCATCACTGCTCCAGATCCTCCTGTGGGAGTCACTCCCCCAGCCACTCTGCCCCTGTTTCCCATGACGTCAACATTGTACCACATGCTTAGTCGTGGAGAAAAGTCCTGTGTAGACTTGGGTCACTTTGCCAGTGAAAGGGTTAGCGGGATATACAGAAAGAATGCTGATTATTAAAGACAGAATTGTTGATGGAGAAGATCTCTCTGGCATGATGCACAAACATACATGTGTTGGTTGAAGCGGGTCCTCACTCAGGATTAGTCCTTTGTGCCTCTGTAACTGCTGTCCTTACAGAAGCACAGTTTACCTTGGCTTGGGGTTTCAGAGGGATTTCTTCCACACTGGTGAGAAGCCCATGACAGAGCAGTTCTGTCCTTGGTGACAGGATTCTGTGGCCATTCACACCACCTTGGAACAGCAGGAACCAGGGGTCCTGTTCAAAAGCCTCAAATGGTTCCTGCCATTCAAAGACCTCCCATGGTGACCTACTTCCTCCAACTAGCTGCTATCTCTGGAAGCTTCCACAGCCTCCATAAATGGCTCTGTGAACTGGGTAACACATGCTCAAAACACAAAAACCAAAACAACATGAATGGATTTAACTTTTGGGGAGTTTTCCTCCCTTTCCTGCCCAGGATCCTACCCCTACCAGATCTCTATGGTTTCTCCAAGAGTGAGCCAGACCTGGTCTTTCTCATCCCGTGGTCCTCAGGATAACATTGAGGCTGTAGCCGTCTCATAGTCTCCTGCATGAGTCACTGTGCCTGTACTTGTCTCCAGCCTTCCAGAAGTTCTGTCACCCCCCCCAACCTCGTCCAGCCCCTTGAATTCCCACCTTCTCATTAACTCATGAGTGTTGCCCTTCGCAACCATGTACAGCTGACCCTAGAGCATCCTCCTAGCTCCCTTCCTCAGCCTGAATGAGTATCTGTGTTTCAGAATGGTCCTTGGGAGCCTCTTAATTCCCTCATCTGTGTTACCCAAGACCAGGGCCTTTCAGCTACCAGGGTCTTGATTTATTTTCTCTACATTCTCAGTACACAGCGTGGGGCCAAGGCAGAGTCAATATTAAGTCGATGTTTTTAAATGAACAAATTATTTTTTAAATGACTTAAACATTCCCTTGTTTATCAGCCGAGAGTTTGGAGGCAAGAGCTGCTCGGCGGTGATGTACCGATGCCCAGGTGTTGGCTTCTATTTCTGTCCTCTGATTAAGAAAACCAGGACTTTTGAGAAGTCGGCTGATTGAAACGCTAAGACGCGCAGTGCACAGAGGAGCCAGGAGCCTTGGGAAAAGCCAGCAAATGAACTAATGTCTTCAAGGCAGGATAGGAGCATGGCAGATATCTGTTGGCACAACCATAGAGCACTCGGTAGCTGGAGTTGAAGTAGCTGAACAGCAATAAAAATAAGGCAGCACAGGACCGTGACTGAGAAGAGGAACCACACACCCAGGTGTCTTCCCAGCTAGAGAGAAAGGCTAAATAATAAGATACCAGAGGGATAGAGGGATATCCCACCTGAAGGATTCCAAATCACCCATAGAGGCAGAGTATGACTCCCTACATGCATGGCATACTGTTCCTGCCAAGGTGTAGTATGCAAAGTGCCAAAAAGTGACCTACCTGTCCAGGGGACCCTGGGCCCACACCTCAGCCTGAGGCCCGGGTCCCATCAGCAGTGAGTCACAGGGGTGGTGTAGACGGAAGCGGCACATTGGCTCTGTGGTCATCCCCCAACCTGGAGTTCTGGAGAAGGCCAGAGCAGTGTGTCTTCCCAGGACCAATCAGAAACAAGGAGAGTCTGGGAAATGACCGAATGTAGGGGGAACTCAGCAGACATGAGACTCATTGTGCCACGAAACTCTAAGACAGAAAAAAAAAATCAAGATAGCCAAAGAAATCCACATGATCTGGGGGCTTTTGTTTAAAATGGCCATCTAGTTTTTACAGTGCTACGCCAAGCTCATTGATAGAAGATTTCAGTGATAAAGGACACCTGGAGAGAGGTATGGGGACTTCCTGTAATAGTCTCCACATTTTCTATAAATCTGAAAACTACTGTAAAAAAAAAACCCAAAACAAGCAACCTTACTTTAAAAATAGAAAGAGAACAGCTAAATGTAAATTTTAAAAGATCAGATGAAATTCCAAGACCAGTCTGTTTGCAGACCTTCCTACATGGCTGAAGCCTGCAGGGCTCTGAAAACTCCCAGGAGCCTCCTCTCACCATTTAAGACATGACAGTGAAATGCCTCGTGCTCGTCCTGCAGGAACCCACGCTTGTGGGTCAGGCAGATACCAGAAGTTGTGTCAGACATCTGGAAATTAAATTTTCTAATGTTTTTTATATTGATTTTCATGGTATGTTGGATATGTCCCCCACTGTTACCCAACACACCTCTCCGAATCCATTGTACCTTAATGCTGCCTTTTTTTTTTTTTTTTGAACCATTGATCATTTCAGTGCACTCCAGGCTCAGTATTGGATGCTAACAGCAGCTCTATCGAATATCTTTCTCCAGGTGTCAGCATTTTCTACTTGGGAGAAAGAACTGCATAAAATTGTGTTTGACCCACGATATCTCCTGCTAAACTCCGAGGAACGCAAGCAGGTAATGCTGGGGCGAGGTAAGATGGGGGGCTGGAAACCGAGCTGAGAGGATGCTGGGTTCCCTACCAGTCTGAGGGCTTGGGAGTGTCGCCGCATGGACAGAGGAGGCTCAGGCCTGGCGCTGTTCTGCCTGGTCATGACTCCTGCAGGGAATGACTGAGTCTAAGATGAAAGCCCAAAGCATGGATCATTCCAAATGACTCAGTGTGTGGACAGCACCACCACCTACCTAAGGTGTTATATTGTTACCTGGAAACCAGGAGAGGCCAGGGAACAGAGTCAATGAAAGGAAAAGATAGCGTTCCAGAAAACAGGTTCCAGAAAAGGTAAGGTTGACCTGGAGTGGACACTACCAGGCTCTTTACAAGAATGATTTGCCAGAGGTCTGCTCAGGCTTATTGGTGAAGAACTTCACAGAGCCAACTCTGCCTTTCCAGATTCTATAGACAGCGGAATGACGGGGAGCCAAGAAGGGGCTGTGGGCACCACACCTTAGCTAAGGCTGTGAGGCAGAATGGAGGGAAGAACTGTAAAGACAGAGAGCTATACCTGTAGTCTCAGACTTGTCCAGACTCCTCGTGAGACCCTCCCACCCCCGTGTTTATTCCCACACAATGCAACTGCAGAAGGAGGAGCTTCAGTGTTAGCAGAAAGGAGGGTCATTGCCAAGGATCTCCAGGAACCCAGTGATGTGTGAGCTGACAAATTCTTATCACGACTGGGACAAGTCATTGATATGCAACTTTATAGTCAGTCTGTCAGTGGCTACAAGCAGACACTGAGATGGTTTAAATGACACCCCCAGGTGCTCTCAGCTAGCCTGGGACCCCGAGTTCCTCCTGCTGCACAACTAGCAACTCTTTCTCCAACAGGTTGGGTAGGGTTTCCTGAACTGGGCAGCTAGAATCTCCATTTTTGTCCTTTCAGCAACTTGAGATAGATTCTTTTTACAGAGTTTTTGCTTTTTTCCAGAAAAACTTTCAAGTATGGGAGGACGCTAAGCCCACAATCTAGTGAGCTGAGTTTTGGCTACATGTGTTTGCTCCTATAGCTAAAGAAAACTTTAGATTTTAATAATTGATACTATTTCACCATTTTGTTGCATTATTAAAAAGCAAAAAATTCAATTGCGCTTTGTAGGAGAGAAAGCTCATCTACACCATAAGACACCGTGAGATCCCGAGGCAGCCTCGCCTGTGTGTGAAGCGCCATTGCAAACAGCTAATGTGTCAAGCCTGCCTATAAACATATAGGCTGTGCTTTTACAAAGAGCCATTTTGTTTGTGTGCGTGTGTTTGCAGGGGGGTTGGCTTTTCTTTCTTGTTGGTGTGTGTCTAGTTGCTTTCTGCATGCCATTTATACATTTTAGAGGCTAGCATCATTTCAGAAGAAGCCAAATATATATATACCCTGTTGAGTTCGAGACTCTCCGATAATTTCAGTTTGATCCTTAAGTGACATCCCTTAGGAGGTCTAGGAGAGCAAGCGGCCAGGCAGGAAGGAGTTGGTTCGTAGACAGGACGTCAATAGCCATCATCCACTTCCTGGTGTCTAAGGGCAGAGCATTCTAAATCAGATCAGCCCAGGGAGTTAGAGACTGGGCTTCCATAGACCCTGGTCAGAAAGAGCAGATGAGAGGGCTGTCACATTTGTCCCTGCTTTGGGAGTCAACACTTGCCTAGGCATGGCTTCTGCATCTTGAATCATCTTATACCAAGAGTCCATTGTTTAGCCAAAAATTTCAGAAATCCCTGTGAAATCGCCAAGGAAGATGTCAGCACTGTCTTAATGTGCTGCAACGGGAAGGAAGCCAGCCTTGTGGTCTTCATGCTCCGGGCCCTCCAGAGAACATCCTGGTCTAATGCTCGTGTCCCTACTGCGATGGTACAATCAGTGGCATAGCAACCGCCTGTGAAGAAGGAGCAGCGTCTGGGCCTCTCTGAGAAAGCATAGTCCAGATTACAAATGGATTGGAGAACGAGCATCAAATGGGATACACACAGCCCTCCCGTGGCAATGTTTTCACAGGGGAAAGCTAAGGCTCCTGGTGTGAAGTTACCAGGGCTGCAAAGGAGATGGAGTGAGCCTAAACAGAGAACCAGGCCAGGGGAGTGCTAATCAGTCCGGTTTCTATGGTAACAAGAAGTGTTTCATTTTATTACACCAGAGCCTACAGAAAACGCGATAACGGCCAGTGCTCTCTTTTAAAAAGTCGTGCTCCAATTTGGGTAAAACTGGTGTAATTTGTTAGCGGGGAAATATATCTGCTGTGTCGAGTTATGGCAGCTTAAATAAAGCAACAGAGGAAAAGGAGAAAGGGGAATCATTTGATTAGGTGGATAAACGGTTCTAGGCAGGGAGGTGTGTGGGCATTTCTCCTATATTCCGGCCCCACAGTCGGCCAACCTTTCTGCCCACGTTTAAAATGAATAGAGCAAAACTTGGCTGATGATGGATCCACGTGTTTTTATTTGGATAATGGCCCTGCATTTGCTTCTTCTATCTATTTAGATTAGAGGTCTGCAGGAGAGCACACTTCACTGTTTGCCTTGAAGGTAAAATAAGCCAATTTAAGTAAGTAGTCTTATTTAAATGTGTATGCACACGGTCAAAATTGGAGTTGCACTCGGTGAATATTTCACCTCTGTGCTGCCGAGTCCTCTGGAGGCAAGCAGTAGTTCCCGTATAACATCCTATAAAAAGGGTCCCTAGTCAAGAAGAGCTCTGAGCCAGGGGCATGGTTGCAAGTGGCATCAGGAAGCTAAGGTAGGGGAATCAAGGGAGTTCCAGGACAGCAGAGTAACCATGTTTTCCACTCTTAAAATATAAGAAACAAAACAGACAGGTATGAAACAGTAAGATAACATCAGAACAGAGACAGTGATGGGCTTAAGATACCATCTTTTCCCTTCTCCCTCCCTTACCTAGCAGGGATGCTGGGGACCAGTGGACACCTCAGATTTACATGGATTGATATGGTCTGTACTGGTGAGGTTGCAAGTAAATTTTTATTGATAGTTTCATTTGATAGTTTGCATAAATATTTAAGTGATCTTCAGTTTAATTTTTAGTGTTCTGGATGCTTGGGTAGCATTATGATTAGAACAGCTTTGTCCTTCCTGATCTTTGACTTTATGTTCATTCTGCAAGCAATAATTTTTCTAATGTTAGAGTAATGCATAGTCTCCTTCTGACAAAAAGGAACATTGGGGCTGTGTCTGTAACTCGGTTGATGGAATGCTTGCCTGCCCAGCATGCATCCAGATGCTGGGTTGCATCCCCAGCAATGCATATGCCAGACAGGGGCTGTGGCATACACCTACAATCCTAGCATTCAGAAGGTGGAAGCGACAGGATCAGAAGCTCATAACAAGTTCAAAGTCAGGCTAGAGTACACCAGATCCTGTCTCCAAAAAGGGAAACAGGCAGACAAGCAACAATAATGAAAGAACAGTCTATGGGAAGTAGCAAAGAGAAGGTTTATAATCTTAGGCAGCACCTGATTCCCAGGAGAAAACAGTACAGCACTATTTTCACAACACTGCTTTGGAGGGTGGGATGGATTTGCACACCAGACAGTATTCTTATGTTCTAGACTGGGAACAAGGTTTGCTGTTTGGTTATTCAAAATACACTTTTGGTCAGGTACCTTCCTTGGTAATTTCTACACTGATGGTTGGTATAGTCTAGACATCTCTTGACATCCTTGAGAGAGGGCCCTGGTGGACCCTGAGCCTTCTTCATGCCCCAAAATCCCACATGTAGAAGTAAAGTTTCCTGGAGACTAGAGCGTGTGACTCAGAGATGCCAGAGTTTTATGTTTACAAATTTGTGTCATTTTCAGAGATTCTGTGGCCAATCACAGAACCACAGGAAGGAGGTATAGTAGATTAAGAGTCTTGTAGATGCTTTGACAATGATGTGAGTGCTGGTAGGTTATGTGTCCTGCAAACATCAGAGTACAAAATGAGGAGGGGATGCAGATGAAGTGTTCCTAGCTTCTGGAACATGACAGAGCTGTTTAAATCTGTTCCAGGACTCCTGATTGATAATTGTCCCAGAAGCATTGGCTGTGTGAAAGAAGCACATTGGACCTTGGGGGAACTGGGGTTTGTTCCTTCGAGTCCACAGTCTTGTGGACAATATTATAATACTAGAGTTTCCCTTATAGATCTTTTAGCTAGGACAAAGAACCACTTTCCTCAGATGCTGGACTTTTGGGCTGGTTGAGGATATAGGACTTATTTCTTACATTCAATTTTATGATGGCTTTCTTCTATGCGTGTATGTATTTTAAGATATTTGAACAGTTCGTCAAGACAAGAATAAAAGAAGAATACAAGGAAAGGAAAAGTAAATTGCTGCTAGCCAAAGAAGAATTCAAGAAACTTCTAGAAGAATCTAAAGTATCACCCAGGTATGGAAAGAGACATGCACCAGTTGTTTTCTGGGGCCAGAAATGAGGCATTATTGCAGAGCTTATTCTGAGGCCAGAAATGTGTCATTATTGCAGAACTTACTTCATTACAGCTAATATTTCAAAGACATTGAAACATTTACTCTAAAGACCTGTTAACAACAGAACATTTGGGAAGCTGGTCTTCTCAGTCTGGCAGACATTGTGATTTTCTGGGGAATCCCCATAGTCTTTGTACTTCTGCTGTAGACTTCAAAAGGTCAGTGGTCCCCCACTGTGTGATCCAGTGGTCCTCCTGTCTCTGTCTTCTCAGTGGTATGGTATAGAAGTGTGTAGGGCTGCACCTGACTTACAGCATGGGGCCCGAACTCCAGTCCTAATGCCTGATCAGTCAGCACTCTTAACTACAGAGGCATCTCTCCAGCCTATATATTTTTATTTAAATGGTAACTAGCAACATTATATTTGAAGTGAACATTAGTTGTTCTTTTCTGCGAAGACATGGGCATTCATAGTATGGTCTGTAATGTGTTTAGTCCATAATTGAGTTCACAGTTAATACTGACTGCACATTGCTCCCCAAATCATTCTGCCTATTCAGAGGATAGAGCTGAATGCAGCTGGAACCTTAGGGGATGCGAAGGAAAACCTAAATGCATGCCTAGTCATCTGTAAGGGTGGTTTCCAGTCAAAGAGCCTCGAGTACTGGGTCAGGTTCTGGCCTGGCTTATCTACCCAGGAGTGGTCATGAGACGGAGGCAGGCACAGAAGTGGTTTGGAATCTCCTTCTGGAACCTCTTTTAAGTTCTGGCCTGACCAACCTCGGGGATAAGGAGCTAGACATTCATGTGTTTTTACAATCTCATCTGAATGGAGGTAACTGTACTGACCTCGAAAAGTGACGGAGGGGATAGCATGAAGTCTTGCTGTGTGGCCCTTACTCCCTGAGCAGCCCAAGACACTCAACAGTGCTAGCTGTCACCTCGCTTTGCTGTGGAAGGTTTTAGCTGACATTCTCTGCTCCCCAGTGGTAGGTGCTAGTGTCAACCCTGGAACCTCACAATGTGTCCTGAAGATAGAGGGGGCATAGGGTGTACTTACTGGAGAAAGATCTCACATACAACTCACACATACACACCCACTGCACAGATTATACACACACCTCATATGTCACATACACCACAAACACACACATACCATACCCCACAACATACACATATACACATAGCACACTCATCATGTACCATCCATCTTGCAATACCACCCACACAACTCTCCACACATACATATACCCATCCCATATACCCCACCACACACATCACACACACACACACACAAAGCCCACAACAAATGTATACACACAACACATCTTCTCATCATTACATATAAACACATACCATATACCTCATTACATAAACATCACACAGTACATTCCCAACACATCATACAGACACACACACACAGAACATGAGTAAGAGAAATCAAATGGGCTTAAACTCTTATTTAAATACTAGATTTCCTCTTCAGCAGTGCTGTAGGTAAATGTTGCTGTGTGTTTAAGGGATACAGCGTGACTTGTGGGAAACACACAGACAGTAAAATGCTTACTACGGTGGAATATATTTGAATATTTTAATGCACACTGGGCTTATATTACTTTCATAATTAGAAAGCTGTTTATAACCTTTGAAGAAGCCAGATCTGCTTCTAGGATGTCCCTTTTCTCTTCCCTCACAGCCACCTTGTTCTCCTAAGAGGTAGATATGTCAGTCTTGGTTGGGGTGGGCTTAGCCCATTCTCTTTTGGGTGTTTTCAGCAGTAGCTGCTCTGGCCTCTAATGCTCTTGGCTACTTACTGTTCATGCTGACTCTGATGGTCCATCTCAAGTCCCTCCTGAGAACCTGCGGGACCAGAGCAGCAAGGGGCCAATCTCACGCACTTGGATAGCTTAGCGTACATTCCTCCCTGATCAGATATACCTGTGGGGGCACAGAGAAGGCTGGTGCCAACTTGTTGCGGCCACAGGTGTACGGCCATCACTCTGATGGCCTTCTGAACTCCCCAGAACCAGCAGAAAGCCAGCACTACCCCTCAACATAGCTGAGATACAGCTGTCATTCTCCTCCCCTTCCATGATGTTCCTCTACAGAGATGCCGCAAAGGTGGTCTGGGTGGGGGCATCACGGGCTGTCAACCTGGAAGAGGCCTTAACAAAAGTGGGAGGCTAGCACAGCTGTTACCCGACTAGAGGAAGAAGCAGGGATGTGGGAATGGAGGGGGGATGAGGAAGTGAAGAAGAGGGAAGCCAGAGAAAGACATTTTCCGTTCAGAGAACCCATTAAGCAAGTGCTTCCTATGGGCAGAGCAGGGAACTAGCAGCTGGGTGAGGATAGAAAGAGGAAAATGCAGATCCAAGTCCTAGGACTGTTCTTTTAACAGCCATACCCATGTGCTCTTGTGATTTGTGTGTAAATGACTAAAAGCTGAAATAATTTATCACAATAATTACACGTGTGGAGGAAAATGTAAACTTCTCTATAAAGACAACTGAGCAAGAAAACAATGGTTTCCTGAACAAAGAGTGATTTTTCTATGCACACTGGGTGCTCACCGTCAACCATCCTCCGTGGTGGGGACTCTGGGTGACAGACACAGAATAACTGTGACCAGGCAGAGGGCTGGTTGACTAATGCCAGATCCTGGGCTCTCGACCAATCTGAATCTGCCACTCCTGGAATCTCCATGTTGGATCTGGGCAGGTTGGGACCCCAGCCTCTCTAGGTTCTGGTGTAGCTCTGAAGACCTTAAGTTTCCATGACTGGTAGATCTGTCTGCACTGATCAGGTAGGGATGGCCTCTGCAGTTTTCTCAGAGGATCCCTCGTCTGGAGACAGGATGTTTGCTGCACAGAGAACCAAACACTTCCTACCTGCTGGCCCGTGGTTTGATACTCAGTGCCAGCCGAGAGTAGAGAGCCAAGCAGATAACAGTGTCTCTACCCCAGTGCAGGAAGGTCCAGTTACATTCCATGTTAAGGGACCTGAAAGAGTGTTTTATCGCTCTCTGGGTCTCTAGAGGACACTAGCTTCCCAAAGAAGACCAGGGCTCCTAAGGAAGAATGGGGACCAACTAGGAGAATGGGGGATGGGGATGCCTTGTTACACACAGTGCCAGTATGTGTGAAGTCCTGTAGCAGGAGGAAGCTCACTGAGAGCACAGAGTCGAGGCGTGCATGACTGCACCAGCACTAGAGGTAGGGTTCCTGAAGCCAGAGATATATGCATGAGTCAAATCAGGACCCAGCCCCTCTCAGCCTGTTAGCCGGCAGGAGTCCTGTCCCAGGGAGCTTGTTTGTCCTGTTGAGGGAAAACAGGCCTCCTTTTCTAGGAAGAAGTCTCAGAAATCCTTTCTCTTTCAGGACCACATTTAAAGAGTTTGCTGAGAAGTACGGCCGGGATCAGAGGTTTCGGCTTGTTCAGAAGCGGAAGGATCAGGAGCACTTTTTCAACCAGTTCATACTTATTCTAAAGAAACGGGACAAGGAAAACAGACTCAGGCTCCGGAAAATGAGATGAGTCTGCACAACGCAGTATGACAACGGGCAGCTGAGTGTGCGCATGAGGAGAGAGACAGGAGGTGGCGGTGGCCGGCTGCTCTGCACAGCCCAGGTGGCCAGGGCGCCGGATGTTCTCAGAGAATTACTGTTTCATATTGAAGCTCCCTCTTTTGTACATTGTTCCCAGTTCGATGCATTTCTAATTGCCATGAGATGTCGAGTCCTTAAGTGTTTTAATTATGCAAATGACTTGTAATATACACAAATTATAAACCCACTGCAGGTTTGTGGCAAGGAAGAAGCAGGAAATGTTCGTCGTCATCTCGAGGTGCTGCTTCCACTCAGAAGGACTGTCTAGAACTTCCCCGAGAGTTTTGTGAGTCACCCCCTTTGTGCAGGCCTCCCGTGGTGTTCCTAGATCAAGGCCCCTTGTTTTCTGAGTAGTAGAAATGGGTTTCCTTATTCATCACAGTGACAACCAGACATTTGACACCCTTGTGGATCGTGATCATCTGCAGGTGGCTAAGTGTGACTGGCTTCTCTGAAAGTGTGTCCCGGACAGCGGAAAAGGGAGCCACGCCGGCTGGCAGAGGTCCTTCTTAAAAAGAATTATTTTGTACAAAATCATCATATTACTATTTGAGTTATTTTTATTGTATGCCCAGAGTTTGCATGAGATTTTTCTCATCATCTTTGTATAAGATTTTAAAGTTTTTTTTTAATCAATAAATATTTTAAACCAGCATGTTTTCTGGCTGAGGCTCCCATGACCATCTTAGCCTGCAAAAATGTGTCAACTGCAGACTTGGGGATTCAAAAGATTCCAGAGGGAGGAAGTGTATGTCATGCTGTGTCAGGATACTGAAACTGACTCTGACCCTGATTCTCTTATACCTGCCTATATAGACCCTGATTCTCTTATACCTGCCTGAATAGACCCTGATTCCCTTATATCATCCTGGATAGACTCCGATTCTCTTATACTTGTCTGGACAGACTGACTCCCTACACCTGCCTGGGACAGACTGACTCTCTACACCTACTTGGGACAAACCCTGACCCCCAACACCTGCTTGGACAGACTGACTCCCTATACCTGCCTGCTGCTATGGACTGGAACAAGCCCTGGTAAAATCTGAGCAGACTAGTTCTTTCTATTGTTGAATGCCAGCTTATTAACTTCAAGGCTGTGGAGTCCCTCTTCCGAGAGGATGCCTTTGCTCCACACCGAACACCGACAGCCTCCTCAGCTCCCTTCCTGTAGAGCTCACACATGTTAGAACGCACTTCGCGGTGGTGGCATCCACACCACATGGTGAGCTCTGGTTTTCACATCTATGCCCTTCAACCTTTCAGCCCTCTCTGCTGGGGGGGGGCTTGTGGACCCTCCTGAGGTTCAGGATCTACAGTCGAAGGCAGGTTTTGCAGGTGCTGGTGCAATCAGCACACCAGTGGACGTCCAGGACCGAAGACCACCCTGTGACTTGAACAGGACTTTTTAAAAGAAAGAATTGCCGATACCACAGGTGCGTAGGGTCATGGGATCTATGTTCAGGGAATACTGGGTAATGGTAGCCTCACAGGTGACCAGAATAGCCATTCCCTATCCGCCATGGCTGTGGTACTGCCTGCCTGGAGAGGGTATAAGCCTGGCTTAAAGAGAATCAGATAAGCCATGTGTGGTCATGCTGGTCAGAACTTGCTGAAATTTTACCCCAGAACCTGGGAGAGCCACTCACATATCTCTGTCTCATTGGGGAAACTCTATCCCAGTCTGCCTAAGCTAGGTGTCAGGGTGGGGTATTGCAACCCCTAGGAGATGCTGTCTTCTGAGTTTGGGCAGCAGGGGCTAGAGAAGCAGTGGCGGTTTTACGGGCTCATTTCGAGTCAGGGGAGCTCCAGGGTCCCTGCATTTGGAAAAGTATCTCTCTTTTCCACATGGTGTAGTATTCATTTAAATACCATCGAGTTCTCACTTGCCAGTGAGACTGGCAGCCCGAGCACAGAACACCAAATCTACGGTCTGAATGGAGTTCTTAAATGTGTCTCATCAATCCAGCATAGTGTGGGATTTGCTTAACACGTGAATAGGTTATATAAAATGGAAACAGTCAACAGGGCTGGGTCTGAGCACCTCTGGAAGCCGTCAGTCCACTCAACTCCCACCTCTGGACTTGCCCCTCTAATGAGGACCACTCTGTCTGCACCCACACCTCTGCTTCGGTTGGGCTCTTTGTCATCTTCTGACAACAGGAAAAGTACAAGGTGAGATTGATGGGCAAGCCTCTTACAGTGCTGGCTCCATCATAGCTCTCCAGGGGAGACCTCGGAGCCTATGGTGAAGGGAAAGTCCCATTGTGGATGTACCCTCAGGCTTCTGAAAGTGGCAATTTTGCAAGCAGTGCCATCTATTTTGTGAAAGAAAACTTTGGCATATGGACCATGATTAATGACACTAGCTAAGTATTTGGGGAGCATGAGATTGAAGAACAGGGATGAAGAGATCTCAGGAAAGTTGGTATATCAGTCTGAGTTCCATTGCTATCACAAAATGCGTGAGTCTGAGTTACTTGTAAAGCAAAGATGTTTGCTTAGCTCACAGTTCTAAAGGAACAATGACGCAGGCTTCTTCCTATAGGTTTCAGTGTAGACAGAATTACAATGTCAGGATTGTATGGGAAAGAGAAAATTAAACTGAAAGACAAAAAAATCAGAGAGTAGAACAAAGCCAACAATCCTTCTTAATAGCTGTCATCCAGCAAGAACTAACTATATGGTCTCCAAAAGCCTGGCTCCCACTACCTAATGGCTTCCCACTGGGCATTGTCTCCTCTTAAAGGAGCCATGACATCTCTACAATGTCACATGGAGGAACCAAGCTTCAACACATGAACCCTGGGTGACAGGCCCACACTCCACCCAAACCAATTGGCATGGGACACAATGTGGAGATGCTTATGTCTATGAGCTTGAGGGATCCAAATGCCAGGTGCACACAGTGAAGGGTCCTGTGACAGCTGGGCTTTGATCATGGAGCCACATGCATAAGCCACACGGTCCGTCATGGCTGGGTAGCACATTTAACAGTCCATGAGTGTGAGCCCCCTTCCCTCCAGAAGACAATTTCTCCTCACTGCTCTACTTTATTCAAATGCAGACTTTTTCAGTTCCGGTTCCATTTCTGCTATAAGCAGTGCTCCACTGAGCCTTCTCAATGGTGCTTGTATAGAAACTGTCTGCTCGCTGTCAGGCCTGACCTGTGCGTTATCGTCACAGGCGGCAGTGGGTGCCACACACTTGCGACCCCACATGGTTGCCTTTGAATTGGTGTCGACAGGACCTGGAGAGGATCATGTGTTTATGACCTCAGTGGAGGACAGAACACAAAGACAACAGTTTGCAGGCACCCCTGACCCATGAGAAAGCAGCCGCAGCCCGTGTTTATCTACATGTGTGGGAGCTAGCCTATTTTGTGCACTATAAATATGCCTGCGATTCTAAGGAACTCTTTAAGTCATAGAGGGGGCGCTAGAAGCAGCTCCTCTGTATTCATGCCCATCTGTGGATCGTTTGGCATGTGTATGATGGAGAACAGCTCAGCTGTGATCAGATGCGCACCCAGGGAGGGAAGGGCGCGCTCTATAACTCCTCGGGAATACACATGTCAGTGATATTCGAGTCCTCGTTCTCCTTTCAGGGCTGCAGGTGTGCCCAGCTCTGTGGGATCTCCTGTGGCTGGTTTAAAGCGTTCCAGAAAGCCAGCACGCTACGGCAGAGGCTCCCCTTACCATTTCCTTTACGCTCTCCAGGTGTCAGGATAACTCTAAATGTCATGATAATTCTAAGCGTGACAAGGGGGTGAACTCCACGGTCACCTCTCTCTGTTAAATAATAAATAATCATAAATAATGCAATCCTCCGCCTGCGTCAGTCCACCGACTGACACTGAATCCCCCCAGAGGACGAGCGTGTTGGGAGGCCAGCCAAGTCTGCCTGTTCCAGACTGCTGCACGTGAACCTTCTCTCCCTGCTGAGGCAGCCGGGGCAACTTGAGAAAGCAGCTGTGGTCAACGTCACGTCTGCCACCTGATCTCGGTGCGTGCGTGCCTTTGACCACCCTGCCCTCCTCCCTACAGCGTTCCCAAGGGATTTGCTCCCACTCCCAACCTCACTGCTCTGGCCCAGGCTGGTGAGTTTTCCCCACCCACGGTGCTCCTTCTGTATCTCCACCCAACACTGCTCAGTTTCTCATTGGTGGCGAGATTTATCCCTCCCCTGTCACACTAGAACCTTCTGTCTGGTGTAGATGTTCCTCAGGGAACTCAACCCTCGGCCGACTGCACTTATTCTGAATGTCCTATGTGACCATCCAGGAGGAGGGGTCTGGGAATTCCCTGGACTTGGGTAACGGTGATCAGAAGGGGAGGTTAGGAGCCATTAGCAGATATAGCTAGGACAGACCAACCTGGGTAGACTGTTGTCCCAGCAGCCTCTGTGTGGGCAGTAATGACGCATTACTTGACTCTGGTCTGCCAAGAGCTCTGGCCTCATTCAGCATATGCTCTGCCATAAACAGATGCAGTAACAGGAGAACATTGCTCATTTATGTTATTTGAAAACCTTTAAGCTTTGCCTTGTTTCTATTTTTTTGTCCACCATGCGTTAAACTGTGACCTAGGTCAGAGACTCCAGGTAGTTCACAAAATGCTGCAGGAAAATGAACAGACGCCTGTGGGGCTGCCTTGGTGCCCCTCTGCGCAGATGGTAGGCTGGGGCAGGCAGTCCTAGTGAAAGGGGGCTGGGTGATATGGGAGGGGACAATAGTCAGACTGGGGGGGCGCAAAGAATGAGAGTGTTCAAGTTGCTTGAGAGAGCAGAATGGGAGACAAATATCTTACTGAGATTTTATAGGTTTGGGTCACGTGACATAATCTTTCATCGACTCTTCCATTTTCATTTCTTTTCTTAGCTTATTAAAGACTAGCAGTCAAATAGATTTGTAAGCAATTTGTGCCTAAA